ATTCCCCTCCTCCTCTTTAGTGCTCCTTGTGGCTGACCTCAGCGAATCCCAGCAGCAGTAGGAGGGAGGGGCCTCGGCTAATCGGGACCAGACGCACCAGGCTCTTCAGAGGCTCTGCAGGCCCTGGGCTGGAGGAAATCCAGGCCTCTGGAGTGGCCCATAAATCAGGCAGCTGGGCCTGGTGGGGGTCGCCGTTCCATGCGACCTGGCCTGCCTGGCACTGTGGGCAGTGTGGAGTGGTCCCCGGGAAGCATGATTGCTTTGAAAGCTGGGCTGGCACCACTGTGAGCCTCCAGGGCAGCCTGGCCAGCCAAGGGCTGGCTCAAGGAATGTGGGTGGGCGAATGAGACACCCCCTGGGATGACGGGCTTCAGCTTCCTCATCTGAGAACTGGGCATGTTTGAGAAGGCTGTGGTGCCTTTTGGGGCCAACAGCGTGGCTGCATTGGAGATGGGTCTTGCCTGGGACCCCTTGGGGGCAGTGTGGCCAGGCCGGGAGGCGGGGACCGCCGGGGGCCAGGCGGGGTGGGGAGGCCCAGGCTGTGGGTGGTGGGAAGTTGGGGGCTAATTTTTGTATTTTTAGTAGAGATGGGGTTTCACCATGCGGGTCAGGATGATCTTGATCTCCTGACCTTGTGATCCACCCACCTTGGCCTCCCAAAGTGCTGGGATGACAGGCGTGAGCCACTGCGGCTGGCCCAAGAGGTTGCTTTTATTTATTTGTTTAATGTTTTTGAGATGGAGTCTCGCGCTGTGGCCCACGCTGTAGTGCAGTGGCACGATCTTGGCTCGCTGCTGTCTCTGCCTCCCGGGTTCAAGCAATTCTCCTGACTCAGCCTCCCGAGTAGCTGGTGCTACAGGCGTGCACCACCAGCCCAGCTAATTTTTTTGTATTTTTGGTAGAGATGGGGTTTTACCGTGTTGGCCAGGTGAAACCCCGTCTTTACTAAAAATACAAAAAAACTCCTGATCCCGTGATCCACTCACCTCGGCCTCCCAAAGTAGTGGGATTATAGGCGGCAGCCACCTTGCCCGGCTGGCACTGCTTATTTTAAGGGTCCCTGTTTCCTACCAGCCTCTTGTCTGCCCCCGGCCAGGTGGCTTTAGCTGACAGTTGTCCGGAAGCTGCAAACCCGCCTTGTTAGCCTCAGGCCGGGGCGGTTAATGATGGTGGGGGAAGGTGGACGGTTAATAAGCACACTGTGAGCGCGAGATGAAGCCCGATAATTGTTTTCCTGCTGGGCTCGTGTGGATGCAACTGTTTGGGCTTATTAACCCATTACGGATGGTGCGGTGGCCAGGCGGGACCTGGTGGCTCACGGGGGGTGAGTGTTGGCGGGCTCTAGGTGCTGGCCCTCCCTCCCCCGCACTGACCCTGCCTTTGTCGCTTGCTGTCCTCAGGATCCTTGTCTCTCTGCGCTGCTTCTTGACAAGCTCCCAGCACCCGGGGCCCTGCCAGCCTGCCGCCCAGAGGCCGAGCCCTGCTGTGATGTCTGCGCCACACACCTGCAGCAGCTCACACGGGAGGCCGTGCACCTACTGCAGGCCCCTGGCAGCCACGAGGACCTCGACGTCCCGCATGGAGGCCCCGGCCTCTTAGCCCCCAGTGCCATGACCAGCTCGAGGGACACTCCAGGACAAGCAGGCCCTGCAGGGAAGCAGCCGGGCCGAGCCGCGCCAGACAGGACCAAGGAGCTGGCCTGGCCCCCTGGGCCCAGTGTCCAGGTGTCCGTGGCACCTGCGGGCCTTGGAGGGGCGCTAAGCACAGTCACCATCCAGGCCCAGCAGTGCCTGGAGGGCATGTGGAGTGTCTCGAGGGTCAACAGCTTCCTCCCGCCGGCATGCCTGGTGAGTGTCTTGCTCAGTGGTTGGGGGCTACCAGGCTCCTTGGTCAGACCTGGGCTTCCTTCCGGGGTCTCTGTCCACAGGGCTGCCCTGAAAGGAGGGGCCTGCGGGCTGGGGGTTCCCTGGACACTCCTGGGGCCTCACATCAGATGCACCCTCAATGGCACTGGGTGTCAGAGCTCCCCAGGAGCAGCTGTTGGGGCCAATTGGGTCAGCTTTGCTCCAAGAGCCCTCATGAAACTGTGAGCCAATGGAGAGGCCCCCAGGACCTCTGGGAGGACAGCAGAGCCAGCCCCGGGGTTGGGGTGGAGGGAGCGTCTCCTTGTGGGGGGCCCACCCTGCCAGGCTGCCCCAGGAGCATGGCCCTGGTGACACGGACCTGCCAAATGCACAGGTGACCCAGCCTGCCTGCAGTTGGCAGCAGGGGTCCCGGCCCACCCCCAGCCAGGCCTGGCCTCCCCGAGGAGCCGCCTGTTTAGTTGACTGACTGAAGAATGCCCCAGGCCTGGCTGTCCCACGGGGTCCTCCACATTCTGCCATGTGTCTGCACTCGCCCCCCACAGTGGGCGTGGCTTCCCTGGAGCCAGCTCTGGGCCCACCGACCCATGTGTGGGCTCCCAGCCTGAGATGAGTCAGCTCTGAGGCTGCCTTCCCTTGGCTATGAGCTTTGCTGGTGGGTGGGGTTTTTCTTCCAAGTGCCTCCATGGTCGTTGTCTGTTTGGGAGAAGGGATCCCAGAATGGAGGGTCCTGAGAGGGTGGGCTACAGGGTCTGCGCTGGAGAAGTCGGTTTGGTTTTGGGGTGCATGGGCCCGCTGTGATGGGGCTTGGTGGGGGCCTTTCCCGGAAGGGCATAGCCGCTGCTCTCAGGCCCGGCCCCAGGTGCCCTGGGAACACCTTCTCTGGGGCACGGGCCCCTCCCTGTCTGCCGTTTGAGGGCTGGGGCTGAGGGCCGACGGGTGCTCAGCGCAGGGCTTGGCGACACACAGTGCACTGTACGTAGGTCAGGGCTCAGCAGGCCGATGGAGCAGGAGGACCCTTGTGGCAGAGCAGGGGCTGTGTGGAGGCCTCGGGTGTGAGGCATCCGTGGACGTGGTTGGGGACCGGCAATTGCAGTTGACGTCCACACAGATGCGTGTGGCTGCAGGGAGAGGCCCTTGGCATCGCCCACCCCTGTGGAACCCCGGGGGCAGAGAGGCGTGGGTGGCTGTGAAGAACGCTGTGTCTGCCTGGTACACTGTCCGGTCACCACAGAGTGGCCAGCACAAGCTCTCGCTTCTCCCTCGGTCTCCAGGCCTGGCAGCGTTCCCAGGGGCAGACACAGGTGCAGGGAGGACCCTGTAGTCTCTAGGGAAACGTTGGCCACTGATCCTGAGGCCAGGCAGGCCCTGCCCTTGCCTTCCGGGCTTTTGGCCTCTGTGACAGGTGAGGTGGCCTGTCTGGACATCAGGATCCTGCCCCAGCTAGGGGCTGGCCTTGGCACTGCCCTGGCACTGTCTGCTGGGCCAGTCCTTCCGAGGCTGCCGGGCTGCCCTAGGGGTCGAGGTGAGTAGAGGCTCCCGGGAGGACCTTCTGGACACCCCCGGGGCCCCGGCTGGTGTGATGATCCCCCTGTGGCCTCCCTGGTAAGGCTAACAACAGGGAGGCCCACCCTTGTCATGAGGTGCCTGCTGGCACTAGAGCTGGGCATCCCGGGAGGGGCAGGTGGGGTTGGTGCTAGGCTGCAGCAGGTGAGCCAGGCAGCATCCTGGAGGAGGTGCCACTGAGCTGGGCCTGTGTGGAAGCCTCAGGGGCTGGGCCTGAGACCCAGGATGGTGGGCACAGGTGCCCCCGTCTCCTGCTCCTGTCTCCCTGGCTCACTCGGTCTCACTGCACCCTGCTGGTGGCTGAGGGCCCGACCAGGGAGGTTGGAGAACATCGCAGGGTCCTCGCTGGGCAGCCCTGCTGGTGGACAGCGCACCATGAGCTGCCCGGTGTTTGGTGCACATCGACTGCATCCAGAGTGGGCGGGGATGGATTTAAAATTAGACAACGGTCCTGGCAATCAATAGGCAGATTATTAGAACCATAAATAGAACTTTAGGATTCAGATGAGGTCATTTCCCCTGAACCAGGGCATTGATCATTAGCGTGGCTGGAATGCTAATGGCGCCTGTTAGACTCTAGAATTAAGTACTTGTGAAGAGACGCGCTGCAGATTTCCAGCGCAGACCATCCGCTACCCCTGGGCCAAGCGAGGTTGTTCCAAGCGAACACTGACCGGGGGCCAGCGGGTGGGATGGGGTGCTGCAGCCCCCGTGTTACATGATGTGGAGAGGATGGGGCACTTTGGCCTCAGCCTGGGCTTGGCAGGGGATGCTGAGTGTGGCTGGGTCTGGCCAGAGGCTGGTCCTTGGAGGGCGGTGGGTGGCCCGGGGCTCCCAGGGCCCCTGCAGCCATAGGAGGGTCTGGAACATCCCACGTCTTGACTGTCCAGAGACTCCTGGGCTGTGGAGCCGCCTGGCCTGGCTCTCCAGTGGTTCTTTCCGGGCTGTCGGGCCAGGGCAGTGCTGCCATTGCAGAGGACAGAAGCTGCCCATGGAGCCTGGCCCTGTGTCTGTCCCCCATCCCACCTGCCCTGAGAGCTCTGGACAGTGGTTGTGGGGGCCACCCCAGTGCCCTGCCCACGCCACCAGAGGCTGCCAGGGCCTGGGACACGCTGTAAACGGAGCTGCGACACCCAGGCTCTGGACTTGAGAGCCACAGTGGGTTGGAAGTGGCACAGTGGAGCCCCCACAGAGGGCGGCCCGGTGGTCGAGGTGGGGTGCTGGAGGTATTGGTGGTGGCCCTGAGGAGCTAGGGTGCCTCTGTGCGTAGAAGTTGGGTGTCACCAGCTTGGAGGCTCCTGCCAGGCCTGGCTCCAGAGGGGGTCCCGTGGTCCTCAGGGCTGAGACGGACCGGGCAGGGGCGGATCTTGCAACTCAGGGCCGTCCAGGCCCCAGGGCCCTTTGGTGATAAGGCCAGAGCTTGTGAGTGGGTGAGTCCCCCTCACGAGGCTCTGCACGGTGGGCACATCCACATGCATGCAGGGGTGACGGTGGCAACTGGGAGTTTGCTGTGAGCCTCCGGGCTGTCTCCCCCACTTTTCAGCACAAAACAGCACCCAGGGAAGCGTTTCTCTTGGGGGCTGGTGTCTTTCGGGGGCCAGACCTTACAGACCTGTGCAGGCCTAGAGGGCTCCTAAGGAAAGGGTTAGCTTGGCGTTTCCTAACTGTGCCCCCCGAGGTGGCAGGTGCTCTCCGCCGGGTGCCTGGTGCCTGCTGTGGTTCAGAAGCTCCTGCTGGGGCGGGGCCCTCGGCTGTGTGCCCCCTGGACTCACGCTGTCCCCCGCCGCGTTTCCTCCCGTGGCTGCCGTGGCACCTCCGTCATGTGTTCTGTTTGGCTGCCCGCCCCGCTCTCTTCTGCCCCTGTGTTGTGGTCTTCCCTCTCGCCGTCCTCCCCTGCCCCCGGCTCTCGCTTTGCCAGACGGCTTCTTTTGGCATGCCTGGGCTCTGCTTCCGGCAGGAATTGGCAGTGGCCGTCCCGGCGGATGGGGCGGTGTCCCGGCAGCGCGTGGGATGGTGGAGCCGAGGCGCGTGCCGGACTCCTGAGACAGGTCAGTGCGGGGAGGCGCAGCTGGCCGCAGGCCTGCACCGTTGCTGGGCGGGGCCGGAACCTCTGGCCGGAGGCTGGCCTGAGACGGGGGAGGGCTCGGGCCCTGTGGGAGGGGCTGGAGGGGCCGGGTGGGCTCCGCACTGCGGCTCTGTCCTTGCTGTGGCCCCTCCAGCCTCGGTGCCCCTGACCAGCGGGGGAGGCAGGGTATCCTGGTGCCTCCTGGAGATTGATAGGGCCTGGGCCCGGATGCCAAATGTGGCCCCAGGGTGGTGCCATGTTGACCAGCTGCCTGTGGGTGCCGTGCTGGCTGTGGGTGGTATGCCCCTGGCCCTGGCCCCCTGGAGCACTGGCCCTGGGTGCTAGTGCCATGCCTGGGGTTGCTCAGCCAGATGTGGCTCTACTTGAGGGGCTGAGTACCTGCTGCTGACGTTGCAACTTTAAAGATAACTCCTTCCTGCGCCTGTCTGCTCAGCTAAGGAGTTTAGGCCTTTGATAGGGAGCACACGTATATTAAGTGATAAAATAGAATCCACATTTGAGGCAAGGGGGCTGCTTGGAGGAGAGGGCTGGCCAGGCTGGGTGCAGAGGGATGTGCAGGAGTTCCTGCCCTGCAGGCTGGTGGTGGGTGTGGTGTGATGGCACAGTGTCCGGTGAGCTGTTCCAGGTCCCAGGTTCACCCTTTTCCGTTACTGGCCAGTCCTTCATGGAAGCCCCGGAGTGGCTGGTGCCTAGGGTCTGGGAGGGTGCCCAGTGTTGTCCAGCCTAAAGGTCTTGGGGCTGTCTGTGAACGGAACTTCCTGCCCCAGACATGGTTCTGTCCTAGCACCTGTGGGGCCTGGAAGCTTGTGCCGGCCAGGGGTTAGGCGGGGTGAGCCCTGCACGGGGTGAGGAGGGAGACTGCCTAGACGGCAGGGCCTCCGTCTGGAGCATCCCTCTGGGGCCCCGCAGCGGCTCGTTCTCTTGATGTGCCATGCTTGGCCTCTGGCCTGTGCCACGTGAGACACCCTGAGGAAGCTGAGCCCTCCAGACCAGCCCACGTCCTCTCAGCATGGGGACCCAGTCCTCTGCTACCCTGGGCACAAAGCACACCATGGGCCGTTGTTGTAGATTGGACACTTGGGGCCGAATGACACTTGGCAGCCGGGGAACCGTGACCAGGCCATGGTGCCCAAGGGGGTCCTTGGAGGGCTTGGGGAAGGGGCAGCGGTTATGGGTGGCGGGCTGAAGCCTTCCCTGCCCAGCCAGGGGTCGCATGCCCCCATGCCACCCAGGTCTGGCTTGGGGTTTGGGGCCAGGCGTGTGTGGGAACAGAGCATGTGGAGGTGGAGCTCACGCTGGCCGGGCCGTCCCGGGCATTTAATTACGTTTGTGCTTCGTTATGAGGCGGCCTCCCTTTCTGGGATTTATCTGAGCTAATGAGTTGGAAATGCCAGGGTAGTATTTCAGCTGAGGGAGCGTCATACATCACCATGCGTGCGCAATTAGCGCTCCTGCCAAATATTTATTGTGGTTTCTTCTCCAATTAATGCCTCTGGGTGCTCCCAGGCGGCACAGGGGTGAGAGGGTGGGGGTCCTGTGTTCATCGGTCTTGACCATTGTGGTCACTGGGATTCTGGAGCTTGATGGGGGAGAGGCGGAAAGCCCGGCTCCTGGGCAGCCAGCTACCTCCCCCTCTGCCTCCAAGGAGGCCTGCTGGGGCCGACCACCGGCACCCTGGAGCTGGGGATGCGACTTCAGGGCCCGGGCAGGCCTTCCCCACTGGCCCTCTCTCCCAGCCCTGATTTCTGGGGCCTTCCCGGCTTCATGGGCTGGGTCCTGAGGGTGCAGCACCCCCAGGAGTGTTCTGGACTCCGGGGTGCCCAGGCCTGTCTCTCCCACTCCTGGGGCCTGGGGGCGGTGGTGTCTCTGCCCGTGGGTTCCTCATACACGCTCTCTCCTTCCCTCCAGGCTGAGGCAGCGGTGGCTGCTGTGGCAGTGGCAGACTCGGTCCGAGAAGGCGCCCCCATGGCAGGCCCTGATGGCTTGTCGAAGGCCTGGGGCCGTGGTGGGGCCTGCACATCGGCCCTGGTCACCCCGACCCCGGGCTCGGTGGGGGGCTCCACAGGCCCCTCCACTGCAGCCTCCTTCTTCATAAGGTACGTCCTGGGCAGCCTCGTGGGCAGGGCAGTGTGCGGGAGGGCATGGTCCTGGCTCTGGGTCCCTGGGGACCTGCGGGCCCTTCCTGGGGGACCTCGGCCACGCTTGCTGCCAAGACCAGTCGGTCACAGCTGCTGAGCAGCTCGCCACCTGCCGGCCTCTCGGAGCCCATGCCAGGGCAGTGCTTGTCTGTGGGTGTCAAGAGGAATGTCGGGGGCATGTCAACCTCAGGGGAGCAGTGCCAAGGAAGGGCTCTGTGCCAGGACCTTGCCTGGGTTGAAGCCCGGTCCCTGCTCCTTCTGAGCTGTGCAATCTTGGGTAAATCACCTAACCTCTCTGTGCCTGTTTCCTCTCGTCAGCTGGGCTCCTCCTCATAGAATCGTTGTGAATGCAGCAAGAAAATGTCTGTGAAGCTTGGAGAATGCAGCTGGCTGGGAGGGAGGCAGATCAGCTGTGCACATCAGGGGCTGCTGGGGCGGGTGCGGGCTGGGGCCACGGAGATGACCGGCCGGCCTTCGAAGCAGCACAAGGGAAGGGGCAGCAGGGGCCTGGGCAGGTGCCCATGGTGCCCACGGTACCAGCCAGGCTCGTGGTCAGCAGGGCCAGCTCCACCAGCAGCGGCCCACATCGGGTGACCATGTCTGACGTCGCTTGGTCCCTTCCTAAGCCCTGAGTTCGGGGTGTTTGGTTTCTCTATGCCCCCTCCCCCACCACTGCCTTAGTGCCAAGCCCGAGGCCCTGCAGGCACCAGTCATGGACCAACTGCTGGTGTGGATGTGGTGGGCCAGGCAGAGGGAACGGCAGAGCAGGGGTGGGAGGGAAGTTGGCGTGGAGGAGCGCGGCATGGGAGCCTCCTCTGGGCCCTCCCAGCGGGGCCCTTGGTCCTGCGCACCTGTGGCAGGGCCTGCTCTCATCCCGGTGGTGTAAGGACTCGGATTACAGGATGTAATTGCCGTAATGCCTGGTAATGGCAGGCCCAGCCGCGGGCTGCTGTCCCATTAGCAGCCCCGTGAGGTACTGATAAGCTTGAACACGCGGCTGGTGAGGAGGGAGTCTTATCAGCGCTGGCCCTGGGGACTGCGGTCTGACTGCGGAGTGACAGGGCATGTGATTAGGGCATTGTCGCTGCTGTGTGCGGGGCCGAGGGCTGATGAGCACACCGCTGCGTGGGAGCTCAGCCAGGCCGCGCACGTGACCGGTGTGGCCTCAGTGCCACCCCAGTTAGGCGCTGAGAACACGGCTGGCTGGGACCCTGCTGGGAGTGGGTGGGGGTCCTGCCCAGGCTGCTTGGGGTACCCCGTGTGTGTGCCAGCCCATCCCGTCCCACCCTGCCTCGTCCTGAATCAAAGGGCTGGGCGGCTGGACTAGGCACGGCCCTGTGGCCACGCTCCTTCTGATCCTTTGTGGCACGAGGATTTGAAATGTGGTGACTTCCAGAAAAGAAAGAATAGCTCTAGTGCTCAGAGCTGCCCCCGTCCCTGATGCTAAGGGCCCTGGTGCCTGAGGAGGGTCCTGACATTGGGAAGCAAGGGTGGAGTGTCGGCCCCCGGGCTGCCTGGTTGGTGACCTGGAGCCCCCAGAGTGGCCCTGCTGCCTTTTGTCTGGGAGCCGAGGCTGGTGCTGCTCCCCAGAGGCGCTGCCTCTGACCTTGGGAGGTTACCATAGAAACCAGTGCGTAGGCTGGGACCCGAGGCAGGTCTCCCGAGGTGGGGGCGCTGCCGGCTGCCATTACTTCCAGCCTGTTAGGCACCCTGGGTCTCAGCGACTTCTGCAAGGCCACTGCGGGTGACAGGTCATGGGTCAGGTTGCGGTGGGGGACGTCCTGGTAGGTGGGCTCAGTCGATGGGTGCCTGACGTGCTGACATGGGCTGGGGTCGGTGGTGGGAGACCTCCTCTGTGGGACAGCAGCACCCTGAACCCTCAGGGGTGAGATCAGAGGGGCTGTCCACTCCTGGGTTTTATGGGTGTGGGGCTGTGGCTCAGAGTAGGGGGTGAGCCCACCAGGAGACAGTGGAGCTTCAGCCCCTGCCCCAGGGTCTCGGGCATGTGCTGAGGGTAGCTTCCGTGCTCCCGCCTCCACCCTTGCAGAGGACCCGGGAGGGGCGGTGCTGACCCCAGCCCCTGCCCTGCCCTTGGGAAGTTTCCAGTCTGGAGGGACGGAGGGGCACCTCTGTGGAGGCAGCCTTAGATGGCAGCACGGGACCCATGCAGCAGCCAGGGCAGAGTGGCCTCTAAGGGAGTGGGCTTTGAGGCTTGAGTAGGAGTCTGGCAGGCAGCATTGCCAAGTGGAGACAGTACGGGGCAGAGGTCAGGAGTTTGGGTTTTTGAATCCTGTGGGCCTGGGGTGAGTCTTGGCTCTGCCGCTGCCCACAAGTACCCCCCACCTCGGCTAGAGCACCAGCCTCAGGCTGCCCCTGACTCTTCCAGTGGTCTCTGGGCTCCTCATCTCCACACGGGGAAGCTGGGGTGTGGAGTGATCCCTGTGGGTGCCCGGGTGCCTGGGGTTTGTTAATGCTAACAGGAGCATAGATAGAGCAGCGGCTGAGCCATCACCCCCTGGGGGCGGCTGGGGGTGCAGGGACTGAGGCCACATAGCTGTGACAGAGCTCGGTGGGTTGGCCTAGCGAGTGTTCGCAAAGGTGGGGCGTGTGGGCGGTGGCCCCCAGGGTGAGGAGTTCTCTGAAGGCTCTGGTGACTCTGACGACTGTCTGAGGCCCCGATCCTTCGTGCCGGTGCTGGGAGCCTCTGCAGTGGACTTCTGAGATGCTTCCTCCATCACAGTCTCGCCTGTCTGCTGCTGTGCTGGTGTGGGGGTCCCTTCCCAGACCCCAAATCAAATGTTTCTGGAAGAACTGCCAAGGGAGGTTGCTTCTCTTGGGTGGGGGGCACCTCATGGCGCTCACAGGTACCCAAGGCCCCCACTCTCCGCCCCACTGTGGCCTCAGCAGAGACCCCCATGTCTGCCTGGATGGCCAGGCCCATGGATGGTCAGGCTGACACCCAGAGGCAGGGCCACGCTGGTGGAGGGGGGGCACTGCCCAGAGGCTTAGCCAGGGACCCACATGGAAGGCACTGTCTGGAGAGGGGTCCCCACCCGTCTTCTGGCCTGTGGGTGAACATCCAGGACACGGGAAGGGCTGGCCACAGCCCGGCTGGGAGTCGCAGCTGCTGATGCCTCTGTCCCCAGCTGCCTCCAGCTGGGGCCCAGGGTCCTCTTTGCAGGTGTGGAGGACCCTGCTGGGGTCCCCCGATGCCTGCTCTGGCTCCTTGGTGGGGCAGGTCCAGCCTGTGGCAGGTGCCCCTGGGGTGAGGTGGGTAGGGAGGGTGGGTTCTGTCCACCAGCCTCACCCGGCCAGTGTGGAAGCTCTGGGTTGCCTGTAACTGATTCCTGCCTGCCACCACTCAGGCTTTCGTGTCTCTTTGGGGTAATTAAGGGCCTTGCCATCAAGGCCAACTGCCTGTGAAATTACCCTCTTGTTTGGAAGAGGTGATTTTTCTTTGTAAAAAGGAAAATATTTGCCTTTCTGTTTACATGAATTGATGGCCAGGACCAATGAGCCAGGTGAGGCTGTGGATTGTGGCAAGACACCCAGTGGGGCACCCAGTGGGACACCCAGTGGCTCTGGGGGTGCGGAGCCTACTCTTACTCATCCTCACTCTTGCGTGTTTTGAGCATCCTCTGTGAGCATCTGCCCCCAGGGCCCCTGCTGTCAGGGACACAGCTGTGTAAACTGGTGTCTCACAGTGGGGCGGTTCCTATAGAAGCAAGAGGTGCAGGGGCTGGGGACACCCGTCTCGGGGCATCAGGGCAGGCTTCCTGGAGGAGGTGTCTTGTGAGGACAGGGGCTGCATATGCAGGTGAAGTTCCTACTTTTTCTCAGTCTTCCCTTCAGAGTCAAACCCCTCAGGCTTGCCCACCGAGGGCTGCCGCTCCCTGGCAGTGGGCGTCTGTTGTAGCCTGGGGGGAGACCATCATTACCGCCCAGAAAGCAAGTTCCTGCCTTCACAAGGCTAGGAGCCCTCAAGGGCTGTTGAAGCTAAGCGTGGTAGCCAGGTGGGGGCTGCTGTTTCTGTGTCTGACGGGCGTTTCCACGGGGCCTGAATTTCATCAGAGGAGAAAGTGCCCGTTCTCAGGCCTCATTAGAGCAGTGATGGGCCTTGAGTCATGCCAGTGAGGTCAGCCTGTGAAAGCAGGCGCCGGGAGGGCCAGCAGGCTGGGTGCAGCCTGTCGGCGAAGGGCCCCAGGAGGAGGGGTGCCCAAGTGAGGTCAGATTGTGGGACGCACACGTGGGGCAAACAACCTTCTAGACCTCCAGGGCCGGTGGAAGTGCAGAGGACGCCAGGGCCAGCCTCTGTCCGGGCGGCCTGGGGCCTGTGTGTGCCACTGTGGCCCAGGCACACCTGAGGTCTGTGCTGCTCCTACGAGGGTCAGTGGAGGGGCAGAACCCTCGTGGCGTTTCTGGTGGCCGTGTGCTTGGTTTTGGCCTCTGCAGACCTAAGGCTCTGGCTTCCATCTCCCTCTGGCTTCTCCAAGTGTGGCTCCGTCTCCAGTGCTGGCCCGGCCTCCATGTCCCCTGGAGGCTTGGGGTGTGGGTGCCCATGCCCTATCGCCCACAGCCTCAGGTTGGAGCTGGTACCTGACCCCGCCCAGCCTGGGGGGGCTGCGGGGGAGGGGCGAGGAGCCGGCTCTAGGTGGGCGTGACCTGCCCATGGACTTGAGGCCGAGCCGACACCCTCCAGCACAGGTACATGCTGGGTGTCCCCACATCTATTTCCAGAGGAGGAAAGGGGTCCAGGGAGGCCCTGTGCCTTATCAGGGCCCCCAGGGGGACTGTCCTCAGCCCTGCCTGCCCAGTTTATCAGCTAAGGGGCTTCCTACCTGCACCTGCAGTGCCCTGCTCTTCCCCTGTCCCCACCCTGAGAGAGCTGGGACCCCAGGTGTAACCCAAGGTTGTGGGGTGGTGGCCTGGGACATGAGGCTGATGCTGGGGTGCTGGGTGGGCAGGAAGACCCCCAAAAGCAGCCACTGGTGAAATCCAAGCCTCCTGCTGCCTGTGCCCCAAAACGGGCAGGCGCAGCCCGCCTGCCAACCTCTGGCGTCGCCCAGACCCCTGCCCAGTCTGCCTGCTCCCTCTGGGGGTCACTCCGAGGTTTGGGTTGTGGCTCTGTGGCTCTGCCCCCTGCTCGTCCCAGAGATCCCCTCCGCCCGGGCTTCTTGCACCGTGGAGAGACGCAGAGGCACACAGACACATCTCGGGCGACCTCCCCGGCCTCCATCCTGCCTCTGATTGGTGTGGTCTTTGGGCGAGGAGGGGACAAGGGACAGTTGTGGGGTTCTTAGAGACGAGGCTTAGGCACTGTATGGGGTCAATGCTGGGTGAGGTCTGAAGGTCTCGGGCACATAAGCCTGGACTCCCAGATGCAGGTGCCACTGCCACCACCAGCTGTGGGCAGACAACCCATGTCCCCAAGGCGGCAGGCCTCCCACACCTGGAGGGATTTGGGCTTCTCCTGGGTGGCCCTGGGTTTGGTTCCTGGGATTCTTGCTCCCGGCAGCCCCCGGCCTGGCCCCTTGTCTTGCCTGGGTGGCTGCACCGCCCGACTGCCCTGTTAAGGACTCCGCCACGTGTCGTAGATTACTTTTATTTTCCACGATGACACCTCACTAGGAGGAAAGCCGTCCCTGGGGTCTCTTAAAAGACAACTCCTATTAAAGATGAAAGAAGTTAAGCAAAACGCCAGCACCTAGCCCCCACGGCCGGGCAGCGAGAGGCCGGGCCCGGCACGGGGTGCAGGTCCTCCCACACTGGGGCCAGTTTCAGGGACTCTGGTAGACTTGAGAGGCCGAGAGCTGTGGGGGGCATGGGGCACATTAGGGGACAGAGGAGCCCAGGATGGGTCGGCAGAGCACCAGTGGGCAGGGCCAACCACACCCGTCACCCGGTGGCATCCTGGCCTCTGGCCCTGTGTGGGAGTGCCTCCTGTTTGGAGGTGGTGACACCCTGTGTGTGTGTCCCTTCACCCCTGTGGCATCCTAGTGTCCCTGTGCTGGCGGGCCCACAAGCTGGAGGGGGGCTCTGGGTGGCTGTGGCAGAACACGTGCTGGGAGGCTGTGGGGCCCTACGAGGGTGCGGGCCATGAGCAGGCATGGCACAGTGACTTGACCTGGGCACACGTCCCCAGCAGCAGGTTAGCGTAGCCAAGGCTCAGAGTTGTGCGGGCCTGCACTCTGTGTGCGTCTCTGTGTGTGTCTGTGTACCCCTGTCTCTGTGTCTGAGTGTGCTTGTCTCTGAGTGTGTGCCTGTGTCTTTCTGTATGTGCGTCTCTGTGTGTCTTTGTGTCTCTATCTCTGCATGTGTCTCTGTGTGTCTCTGTGTCTCTGCGTGCATGTCTGTGTGTGTGCATCTCTGTATGCCCATGTCTCTGAATGTCTCTGTGTCTCCGTGTGTGTTTCTATGCATGCCTGTGTCTGTGTCTGTGTGTCTCTGTGTTTCTGTATGCACGCATGTGTTTTTATGTGTCTGTGTGTGTCTGTGTGTCTCTGTGTTTCTGTATGC